ATTACATAAAAATAATAGAATAGAATACAAAGTTCACAAGTAAATTTGCACAAATTTTTCATTTTGTGCACCTTATTATTATTGAGACAAGATAATCAGATAAAAAAATAGAAATATTGAATTATGGCTCATGAAAAATAGATGTAAATTTTTTAACAAAACTTTTTAACAATTGAAAGATCTTTTGAGAAGGTACAATACAATTCCTTCAAAAAAGGTTCAAAATACACATTCTTTCAAAAAAGATACACTTACTGATTTGAAAGTCAAAACTGAAAAAGCTTTGGCAGTTTCACCAGAGTTGCTGGGACTTTAACAATTTTTTTTAAACACAGTTCAATTATTAATTTAAGAAATTTTTCACTTTTTTAGTTTCTTCTAGCTTCTGTTTCTTTCTTTGTTTGCTTCTTACTTCTTCTGTAAGAAACAGCCTAGTTTATCTGCTGGTTATAGCCAAAATTTCTTGTCCTTTTGAAATCCTTCTCTAGCTTGGCTCCTTTTCACTTTTTTTTTTACATGTGTAGAGTAATTGGCCATAATTAAATTTAATTGGGAGAAATACCCAACAAATGGAACTGATAATGTCTTGTCATAAACAATAACAAGAGAAAGAAAAGAAAAGAACAGGGCAAAAATAATAATGAGCAAACAATATACATAAGGCAAAACAACACTAAGGCAAAAAGTTCATAAACTAAGAATGGTGTTAACACACTAAAGGGACACAGACAAGTGATCACATCATTCTGACTTCTAAACAAGAAAGAACAGAAATATATCAGATGAGACAGAGGGAGATAAAAAATTTTGGGTGATCTATGGCAAGAGAAGTTTTTGGTTACAGGAACAATTTTAACTTTGCCTGACTAATTGGTTCTCCGTAGCTCAGTTGATCAGAATGTATCAGATTTAACGATAGCTCCCTCTGCCCAGAATAATTTAGGTTCGAATATTGCCAGATAGTGTAAATTTTTCTTTAATAAGATTTTTTGAACATTCAGACCAGTAGAGAAAAATAAATAAAGATACTGTTTAATAAATAAATGCAGTGTCAACTAAAAATAATGTTTAAAGTGATAAAAAATCTATCAGATTAATAAAAAATCCATTACTTTCTCTAAAATTATATATGTGTGTGTCTGTGTCAGTTTGAGAGTTAGAAGAGGTTTGAAGTGCTGCCCATTGATTGGATAACCATATATCCCTTTTGATTGGTTAGAAAAGATAAATGTTGAAATTGAAATTTTCTTATGCTATGATCCTTTTTTTTTTTTTTTTTTTTTTTTACACAAATTTGTGGTCAGATTAAAACTTGGATGAAACTGTCTGTTGCATAACCATATCAATCTGACCATTGTTAATCCAGTCACATATAATCATGTTTCATCACTAACCCAAACATAATTTCCACACATGTAGTTTCAGATTTCCTTAGTTGGTCGCACTGAGTTTTTGCTACCATTTTAGTGGCACTAGTAACAACTGTTAGTGCAAAATAAGTGTACACAAATGATTTTTGATATTAAATAAGCTTAGTTTAGTACAGAGCTTTCCAAATTTTTGTTTTGAGAAACTTCAGTGCAATTAATTACCTATTCTTTCTTTACTTAATAATTAAATTTTTCATTGAATTATTTCTTTTTTATATACATTTTGAATTAAATATTCAACTTGGCTAACAAAAATTAAATAATATTTCACAAACAAATTTATTTTTAAAATGTGTTACTAATGCAAAAAGTTTGGCCAACTCTGATTAGTCAAAACCTTTTATATTTATTACTATTTCTATTCTATAATCACTAGTGCATAAAATTTGTCCTAAAACATTACATTTATTGAATCTTATAATAGCTGTTATGTTTAGTGTACAGAATTTGTTCTAAAATGTTACATTGAATTAAATTAATTCCATAATAGCTGTTACATATGAAATTTGTTCTAAAATTTTATATTTATTGAATTAAGTTATTTTGATGCATGGAATTTTTTCATTAAGTATATGAAATTTATTTCATAATAGTTGTTAAATTTATTGAATTAAATTTATCCCATAATAGTTATTACATTTAATGAATTAAATTTGTCTCATAATAGTCGAATTTAATAAATAGAATTCAGTATATAATAGTTGTTACATTTAGTGTACTAAATTTGGCCCATAATAGTTGTTACATTTTTAAATAAACAAAATCAATGATAAGAGACAATGAAAATGTAATAATAATAGTTATTAATTTAGAGTTTTTAACCATTAATTTTGAGAAACATTGAAATAATTTAATTTACATTTCTATCATATATTCTCTTCCCTGAGTGGGAAATTGTGTTATGATTTAATTAAAATGTTTCTGAAGCAGCAATTATAGCACTGTGAACCAAGTTTCTCTTTTTAGAACATTGTAACAAATAATGCGTTTCAAGTATCATTTGTCATTTTGCGTATTGCCTTATATCTTCTTGTATCTCTCCTTTCTGCTAAATTATATAAACACAGCAGGTGTAATTCTGAAAATTTCAATTTGTGCTTAACTTTGAATAATTCACTTTAAGGAACCTCACATTATTTTAAAAAGTTATTGCTGTTAAGTTTTAACATAACAACACAATATTGTCACTAGGACATATAACCTTTAATAAGTATTGGCAATAATGAAAAAAAATATATACAGATATAAGAACAATTATGGAACAGAGGTAATATTATGACCTATTCTTATTTCATCCTTACCAAGGTTCCAGAGAATAAAAGAAATATTGACTTTCAGCAAAGTTTGTTTTAAAACTAAGCAAAAAGAAATGTGTCAAAAGACATTTTTTTTACACTGCTATTACTGTATACTTCCTTAATAATTTTTATTGTTTTCAAAAGCAATTTTTAGAATTTTAATACAACCATAACATATGAAACTGAATTAATACATTTTCTTTGTTCTTGAGAATTGGCAACAATAATATTAAACACTATTCATCTAGTGATATTAAAATAAATCTTATCTCATTTACATATGAGTGCATATGACTTATATAGTCCATCTAGTAATGAGAAAGAGGCAGTCAGTATAAGACCATGATTCTAACACTTAACAACAATTACAATATATACAAGTGGACTATTGTCCTCATCTTTGTTGTCGGCTTGTAAATAGTGTCAATAATAACTCCATATCCCAGAAATTCAGACAGAAACAATTCAAAGATTATTTATTTACTAGCTGAGGTACCCGGTATTGCCTGGGTGTACATGGCTGCAATTGTATAACCACACCCCCTGTATACTTGCACCTTTCTGTCTGGAAATGTCTGCCTGTGTCCCTGCTTACATGCATCATCTGTTGGTATACTAAGCTACTCCCTCCACTCATCTTTTATATGGTATGCCCTTCACAAGTGTTTGATTGTTCTTAATAAAGGAATTCCCTTGATAAAACCTTTTTGTGTGGTTGTTGCTTGGGGTTAAGTTGTTTCAATGTTTTAGATATTCAGTAAATTTCTTATGGCCATAATAACTTTCAAATAGTATGGCATTGTTCACAAATCTAATAATCAAACAAAAACAGGGATGAAGCATCAGAGCTTGATTTAAATGCAAGTGCAAAAGCATGAATGACCCTCCCCGCTTCTTCACATGTTTACTGTAAAGTTGGGCTTAATAAGAAGTTCTTTGGGAATTTTTCCCTTTAAATGCATCAATAATCCTTCTTAAAAAATCTTTGCATCAAAGCTTGTTTGAATGCCTATTTAAGATGGAATCATATGCAGAAACAATTAGCTAAATGTCAAAAGCCAATTTTGGACTTAGTTTGTGACAGATTTTGTCCAGTTAACTGAAATAATCTAAACAAAACATTCATGTAAGACAATTTGTGTGTCATATGTAATTTACATTGCAAATTTAGAAAGCATCGGATGAAAAACCAGGGAGTTATGGCTGAAAAACAGGCTTTTTAAACAGTCTTTCAGGGGAGCAAGCAGGACTAAAACCATTTCTTGCATGAGGGTAAAATCTTTGAAGAAAATCAGATGAAAAATGAGGAAGTTATTCAAGTTTTTTTTTTAAGTAGTACAAAAAACCTGATTTTTTCAGTTTTTTGCAATTTTTTGTGTGAAGCCAATGTCACAGAAAAACTATCAAGCATTCTACATAAATCTCGTAACATGAGCTATGTTCTGCATTAAGTGCAAAGAACATCATTTCATCCCGTAAAAATTTTCTTCGCATGTAACTTTGTCTTGGTTTTTGCAAAAAATAGTATCCACCTTCAGTTTTATCTATTTTTTTGTTAAACTCAGGGCTCTGGAGATTGAAAAGTTGGTCTTGACCTAATTTGCTAAATTTGCAACATGTGTGTACAATTTCATCAAAATCGGTCAAGAAATGTGGACATGCATAAATAACACACACACACAAACAGACAGCTAGATACACAAACACACACACACACACACACACACACACACACATTTTCTGTTTTATAGATATAGATAACCTGTAATAAACCATAAGTATATGAAAATTAAAGTTTTAGTTTTGTTTTTAATTTAAAAAAAAAATCCTCACAGCAATTTTTATCATTTTAAATATAAATTTAAATATTCTATTTCTTTGTCAATTTATTCTAAATTAAAAATGACTCAACTGGGTAAGAAATTGTTTTATTCTTCAACATTATTGCATAAATAAAAATTGTTGTTGCGATGTGTTATATTTGTTATGGTAACAAATGTACAAATAAAGAAATGAAATCATTGTCATATAAAAACATCAGATTATATTATACATGATTTAATATCGTAAAAAAATCTATTCAAATGGAAAAATACTGGCTGATTAAGTTTCCTGATAAATATTTATTATATTGTTTGTTTTTGCTCTTTGCATTTCTTTGATTATTGTTTAAGTAAGTGAAAAACTTTCTATCCTCATTTTTACTGTCTTTGTAGGTTTGTAAATCACAAGAAAAATAAATATTTTAAACATTGTTGCTCGGTTGATTAAAATGGACGATACAGAGAAGAGACATGAAGCTGCTGTGAAGATACAAAGAAGATGGCGAGCATATATTGTAGGTAAAAATTTTGAAGTGATCTTGTGAATATTTACTGAAAATTTTCATTTTTTCAATATTAGTATACACCAAGTGTAACAGCAAAATTGTCCAAATCGTGTAATAGCAAAAGTTGTCCAATTGTTCGATTAAGCTTTGAACCGTTGTATCTTAGAAATGATTAAAGATATCTTACTGGAATTCTCCAAGGATTTTATAACACTTTTGGACCCTACTTTGAGCAATAAGAATGTATAATTACTCTCCAAGTTCAACAGAAGTATCATGATGAAATCGATCATAAATGAAAATGACATGTTCATCATTAATTAATCAAAGGGAAGGATCTGAAGCTCATGAAGGATTAATATAAGTCTATGATGATATTCAGTCACCCCCCCCACGAGGGTGTCATGTGGCACAAGGCCTTTTTAACGTGGGCAATTCCCAAGCCATTAGGCTCGGCCAAAAAATAGCCCATTTGAACCCGTATAAACGGGTTCAGGGCCGGTTTTACCTCCCTGAAGGAGACTCCGCCCTTCGGCATAGCCTCCTTTGGGTTCCTCCAGCCCGTAGGAAGAGAGTTTAACTGAACAGTCTCAATTGTAGTTAAATAAAACGTATTCTATCCTAAACACCCCCCAAAAATCTTTAAATAGAAAAATAGAAAAAAATGCTGTAAGAATTTTTGCCGTTAACAATAAAATAAAAAAAAAATCCAGACGACATGCATTTAACGGATGTTAGATTTCATTGAAAAATACATCCCTACCCCCCTACCAAAACGTAACTAATAACTGATACATCAAAATACAGACATAATGAACACGCAGACACCCCCTGTCTGGTGGAAAGGGATTTATCTGTAACCTTGGAAACGTGAATTATGATTTTAGCTGTGTCTTTAAAACCCAGTAATTTTAAAAGTTACTCCAAAATTCGCTTGAGGATGAAATGGAACTAATGTCTTTAATTTAATTACAAAATTAAATTCGGGGCTTTTTAGTTTCCATTTTTTTGCATGGTTAGAACTGTGTAGCAAAAAAACATATTTTAAATCAATTAATTTATAATATTAATGCTCTGTAAATTTACATTGAGCACTATTTTGTAAAAATAAAAATATCTATAAGAACACTGGATTATATATCTTACTGTTCTTTCTTTTTATTTATATATATATATATATATATATATATATATATACAGTACAGTGTCTTTGTTTTTTACATATACGTTTACAGTTGCTCTCTCTCACAGACATACTGTCGCTTCCCTGTCTTTTCTACAAATATTTACATGATAACTGCTCCAACAAGCTACTTACACTGGTTCCTAAACTGCATGAATTTAAATGTGCTACTAGGTTGGCATCTTTTGGTGGCCACGTTCAACCCCATCCTTTCACTGTCAAAACGATTAAATGTAGCCAACTCTTCTCCAATAGCTTCATGTCTTGCATTTCCGTCTGTGGAACTCCCTTCCTCTTACTTGCTTCCCTGATAGCTATAATCTCCAAATATTCAAATGCAATGTCAATCGACATCTACAGATACCTTGATCTATTCCCCATCCTTCTCTTCATCCTTTTCTCTATCATGCCTCTTTACTCTTCCTCCCACTCTCTGTAACCTGTTGGGGCGCACCCACCTTCTAACTGGTAATGGACTGGTCCCTCTTATATAAGTCAGCTCTGGAGAGAGTGAGGGGAGCGTCAGAGAGAGAGAGTCAGCGTGAGCAGTCCAGATAAGCTTACCCGGTACATACCGTTGGACTATAGAGTTTGGATATTGTTTCGTACTAACCAACCTTCATTCTATTAATCACTCTATTGTTAATTGCGTTTATGAATATACCAGTATTTTCCTCTACAACTGTGTTTGTCTTAATTCATACACCGACATCGCGGAAAACTCACAACATCTCAACAGATGGCTTGGAACAGAAATAATAACCCGATTTCCAACACGGAAAAAATTTTAAAAGAGTTCAAGCATTTACAGCAAAGGATTACAAGTTATCGACAAAAAAAAAAAAACTGTAAGTTAGACATTAACTTATTGATTAAATTGGAAGCTATAATAACCAATTTTGTGCTAAAAAAAAAAAAAAAAAAATTGTCGTGCCAGAAAATTTGAATTTTTGGCCCCCTCAGAAAAAAAAAAAAAAAAACATAATTTTTTTTTTTTTCTCTACACATACATAATCATGGAGCAATTTCAATCAACTATGCTGGAACTCATTAAGTATCAGATGCAAAGACAGCAAGAGAGTGAAGAACGTTTTCAGAAAGAACAACTTAAATTTCAGAAAGAGCAAAAGGAAGAAAAGCAAAACGATTTCTGGAACTACACAAAATACAAGAAGAAAATGAAAAGAAACAGTTAGAAATGGCCTAACTTATACATAAAGCTATACTGTCCAAGCAGAAAGACTCGGATGAAAATATTTTTTCCCAAGACACAATATGGTCAACGATCGAAAGTTTTACTTATAACCCAGAAGAGGAAAAGACTTTTGAAAGATACTACCATAGATATCAGGATTTTTATGAAGTTGATTGCCAAACATGGACAGATGAAAAAAAAATAAGATTATTGCTACGAAAACTGGGAACGCAGAACACAACAAGTTTACAGATTTTATATTACCCAAAAGACAAAGAGATTTAAAATTCGATGAAGCAATTGAATTATTAAAAGAGCTTTTTAATCCCAGATTTTCATTATTTCACAAAAGGTGGAAATGCCTGAATATCCAAAAAAGCGAGGAGGAAGATTACACAACGTTCAAGCGTCAATCGTAAATAAGGCGTGTGACGATTTTCGCTTGTCCGAATTATCGGCAGACAATTTCAAGTGTCTAATATTCGTGCTAGGCTTAGTGTCTAAAAGATAGTGAAATGCGAAGACGCATTTTAACAAAACTAGAAAATGACCAAAACATGACACTACAAAAGCTAGCTGAGTACTGTCAGCAATGCGAAAAGCATTAAGCAAGATTCAGAAAAATAGAAGAAACTGCTATCGCAAATGTGAAGAAAGTATATAGGAAGACTAGTTTCAGTTCTCCATCGCCGGAACGGAAGTGGTATCCTACTACAAGAACGAACAGAGGCTATAGAAAAAAAACCCTCTGAGTGCATGTTATGGATGTGGCCAGTGGCACTGGTACAATGACTGCCCATATAAAAATAAAGCGTGCAGAAATTGCAAAAAAGTAGGACATAAGATGTCAAAGTGTAGAAAATTAAACAGAAGTCGAGTAAAAGTTACCAAGTCAGACGAAGATCAAGACCTGAATATTCAAAAATACCTTCATGTAAAAATGTACAACAAGAAGGTAAAAATGCAACTAGATTCAGGATCTGACATTTCAATCATTAACACACAAACATGGAAAAATCTAGGAAAACCAACGTTGCTAAAATCCAACAAAATAGCCAGGACGGTAACTGGAAAAAAGATAAAATTTGAAGGGGAAATATGGGTAAATATAACTTTCAACAATAAGTCGATAAAAATGAAAATGTTTGTAATGAAAGACACAAACAACCTGTTTGGGACTGACGCAATCACTAAGTTCAACCTATGGGATGTGCCCATTAGTTCTTTTTTGCCACAACATTAATGAAAGCAAAGACCATATAAAAATCTACAAGCAGAATTGAAAACGGAATTCCCAAGTTTTTGCTGAAGGACTTGGACGTTGCACTGAAGCATCAGCAAAAATACAGCTGAAGAAAAATATCCAACCAATTTTAAAAAAAAAAAGCGAAGCATCTCTTTTTGCCGCATTAGAGAAAATTGATCAAGAACTCGAAAGACTAACGAGAATTGGTGTGATCTCGAAAACAGAATACAGTGACTGGGCAGCTCTGGCTGTCTACGTAAAAGAAAGAAGTCGGGCGAAATTCGCGTCTCGCCAATTTTTCAACCGGGTTAACGACGCATAGAAGAGTTTCACTACCCACTACCAAGTCCCGAAGAAGTGTTCGCAAAGTTAAATGGCGGAAAAATCTTTTTCGAAATAGATCTTAGCGAGGCATACTTGCAAGTACCCATGGATAACGAAAGTGCAAAGTTACTATGTATTAACACACATAAAGGCTTGTTTAGATACGAACGGTTACCGTTAAAATTGAAGACAGCACCATAATATTCCAGAAAATTATGGATACGATGTTATCCGGGTTAGACTACACAATAGCATATCTCAACGATATTCTTGTAAAAAGTGAATCGGTGGATGAACACAAACACCATTTACGCAAAGTTTTCAAAGGTTAAGAAGATATGGATTTCGAGTGAAAGAAAACAAAATGCGATTTTCTCCTGGAAGAGATCAAGTATCTGGGACATATAGTGAATAAAGAAGGGAAAAAGCCAGATAAAAGTCGAGCTTCAGCAATAAAAAATATGCCTGAGCCAAAGGATATTAAATCCCTACAAAGTTTTTTAGGCTTGGTGTCATATTACCAGGACTTTATCCCAGACCTCCACATACTACGAGCTCCCCTTAATGATCTACTAAAAAAAAAAAACCTTGATTTGGACAAAAGAATGCGAGCAAGCATTCAAGGATTTAAAAAAAAATTAACTTCAGATCTATTTCTTGTACATTTTGATCCAAAGGTAGATATCATCGTGGCGAGCGATGCCAGTACACATAGGCGTGGAATGCGTGCATATTGCACAAGTGGAAGAATGGAAAAGTTCGACCGATCGCTCATGCAAGCAGATCGCTACTACCTGCTGAACGAAATTATTCACAAATTGAGAAAGAGGCATTGGCGAATATCTTCGCTGTAACAAAATTCCATCGATACATACATGGACGGTTTTTCACGCTACAGACAGACCACAAGCCTCTGGTAACGATATTCGGCTCAAAAAAAGGGTCTGCCAACTTACACCGCAAATAGATTGCTTAGGTGGGGACAATTTTATTAAATTATAATTTCAGAATACAATATTTGTCCACCCACAAAATTGGTCACGCAGATGGGCTATCAAGACTCATCCCAAAAACAACAGAACCTTTAGAGGATACTGTAATCGCTTCCCTCAGAGCAGAGGATGAGGTTGAAGAAAATTTGGCAAACGCAATAATGAGAGAATTACCAGTATCGCTTAAGGACATCAAAAAAGAAGCAGAAAAAGACAAATATATAATAGAAGTAAAAAATAAGCTAGCCAGTAAAGATGAAAAAATTCAAAAGACATTCTCTCTGTGCGATAATGTGCTATTATACAGTGAAAGGGTGGTAATCTCTAACATACTTCAAAAAAGAATACTGAAAGACTTTCATGCTGGTCACCCGGGCATAAATAGGATGAAGAGCCTCATGGGAGCATACGTCTACTGGCCAGGTATGGACAACGACATCGCGTCTATGGTCGGCAGATGTAAAGGCTGCATTTTGGCATCAAAATCACCACAAATTTTACAGAAGCCATGGCCAAAAACCGACAGGCCATGGTCAAGGATTCACATTGATTTTGCGGGTCCAATTGACGGATGGCATTATTTGGTCGTAGTCGACAGTTTTAGTAAATGGCCCGAAGTTTTTCAAATGAAGAGGCCAACATCTCAAAATACAATAAACAAATTACATGAATTATTTGCAAGGTTTGGGGTGGTAGATACTGTTATTAGTGACAACGGTACCCAATTCACAAGCAAAGAATTCACAGAATTCTGCCAAAATTTCCAAGTTGATCACGTGAGGATTCCTCCGTATCACCCACGCAGCAACGGACTAGCCGAAAGGTTCGTCGATACACTGAAAAGAGCTCTTAGGAAAGCAACAGGTACCCCGACTAGAAAGGCGTTACAGCTATTCCTGCAAGTGTACCGAATTACCCCGAATAAATCTGCCCCATCAAGCCTATCACCTGCGGAACTAATGTTCGCAAGAAAGGTCAGATCGGCTTTTGACAAATTGATACCAGAAAATAAGGTACACTCAACAGTCGCTATGGTTCCCAGGCGAAAATTTAACATTAATGAAAAAATTTTGTTCAAGAATTATACAAATAATGCAACATCATGGGAAGCAGGGGTCATAAAAAAGCGCATTGGGGATATGGTATACATTATACAAGGAAACGGCACATTAACCAGTTGAAGAAAAGAAAGAGCGACGAATGACACGAATTGTTTGATACGTTTGACCTGCAAATACCGCAGACTGAGCAGAAACAACGCAGATCTGCAAGAAAACGGAAAGCGACACAAAATTTAATAATAGACCCGAAAAGGAAAAAATATTAATTTTTTTTTTCCTCAATGAAAAAGGGAAGAAAAAAAAAACAATTTTAGGGGGGGTGGTGTTGGGGCGCACCCACCTTCTAACTAGTAATGGACTGGTCCCTCTTATATAAGTCAGCTCTGGAGAGAGTGAGGGGAGCGTCAGAGAGAGAGAGAGTCAGCGTGAGCAGTCCAGATAAGCTTACCCGGTACATACCGTTGGACTATAGAGTTTGGATATTGTTCGTACTAACCAACCTTCGTTCTATTAATCACTCTATTGTTAATTGCGTTTATGAATATACCAGTATTTTCCTCTACAACTGTGTTTGTCTTAATTCATACACCGACACGCGGAAACTCACAACATCTCAACATAACCCCTCGTGTGCTAGTGGCATTCCTGCTTTGCTTGGATTGAAATTCTTAAAAAAATAATAAAAACTTCAAAGACTTATCTCCTAACTCCAAGTTTGACAGAAATTACTCTGATCTTCAGGGACAAGATAAATTGAGTTTAGGGTGAAGTCTTTGAATTTTTTATCCATCCAGACTCTTCTTGAAGAGTGGGTGAGATGACCAGTTAAATATGTGATATCCCAAGGATAGTACTTTGAAGTGAACTAAAATTCCACTGTTTTAAGTAGGCTATTTTTTTTTTTTTGTTAATAATAAATAAATGGATACAAACAAACCCCATAACTTCAGATAAGACTTGAATCCTATGCTGTAAAACTCAAGGAAACTGAAATATTACCAGACGCAACATTCACCCAAGGAAGAGCAAAGATGGCAATTATGATTCTATGTCCCTATAAGATGTGGGTAATCATGGCTCACCACAACTTTGTACCTTTTGTATTATGAATGTTCATTCCCTTACTATACCTCCTAATGTTGTGTTGTGCGATCTATTTACACAACCTCGCTGTTTCCAACTGTCCCTCTTGCCTTCACTATGTTCAGTCAGTGTTAAATTAACTTAGCTTTCTTTCTTCATTATGTGTCCCAGAAATTTTACCAATCTTTTTCCGATCACAAGCACAAGTTCCCATTTTATTCCCATTTTCCTTAAAACTTCCTCGTTGCTCAAATGTTTTGTCCATGGTATTCTCAGTATCCTTCTGCAGAACCACATCTCATTTACTTCAAATGTCCTCTTCATCTGTAAAGAAATTGTTCAATATTCACAGCCATATAGGAAAATTGATATTGAAAAAATTATCTATAAATTTTTATATATCAAGAGCAATTTTAGGGAAAAGAAATTTTAATAAAGTGGGAAAAGTTTTCATCTGGCATATTTTATCCTGTAGGACTTCATTGGACTAAAGTCATCTTTATGTTGATGTGACTAAACATGCACATGAAATGGAGGGGATGCTGAAAATTTTAAATTTAATTTTTTTTTTAAATATATGTATTGGGTATATAGTCCAACCAATTTCATTTAGTTTCTTTTTCTTAAGTCTTAAAGGACGAAATGTGTCACACAAAACCTTTTTCTACTTGGTCATAGTTTTTTTTTCTTAAGATTGATATTGCCTAGTAGTTCAGCACACTTTTCTTTGTTTTTTACAAAGTTTTCTTGTTACTAAATGATTTGAGTTATAATTAATTTTTTTTTTTACAGCTTATTAATTTGTTTTAGTATTTACTAATAAATTTATTTTTTAAACCTCTTTTTCTTTACAGGATATACAAGTTTTCAAGTACTACAAAAGTTTGATTAACTTCAGAAACCAAGGTCACCCAGCATTGATTCTGAGGTGTATTAACCCCCGTGAGGCTGGACTTATTGATGCTGCTTCTGGAATTAAAGTGCGTTTTCGTTTGGCTGGGGTAAGAATTTTGTCTTGAATACCAATATGTGCATGTGTGGGTGTTTTTTTATATATACAATAGCTTAAAAGTCACACTATCAGGCGGCATTTAAACTGTGGAGGTCTCTTGATTGGGCCTTCATCACAATAGGTGAGAAGGAGTAGATGCAATAGGCAACAATAAAGTACAGAAGAACTCAAATTAGTCGCTGCATTTAAGTATTGCATTAATATCTAATCATACCTTTTAAAAGTTCAATGATAATTTTTCTGTCGCCACTTAATTTAAAGACAATTTTATGTATGTAGGTCCTTACTTTCCATACAAACAATTATTTTTATTTCATGGGTGACTTTTGCTGGATTTTGCAATTAATTTTGATTATTCCCAAATTTATTTCCAAGTTATAAAAATTGTTATCATACAAAAAAATTCGTCACAAATGATCACGTAAAAAATTGCCAAAAACAATTGCAGTAACGAAACCTTGGGAATCCAAAATTTCAAGATTGCGGGTCCAGATCTGGCCAGGAATGTTTTTAATTTGCTCACAGACTCAGTCTGATACTAGAATGGTATGATATTTTGGACTATGGCCTATAGGAGTAAAGTTGAAAAAGCCTGACTTAACATCTTGTGATTTTTTTCTTTGTGGTTCGTTAAAGAAGCAAGCTTACTATACCAAACTAAGACTTTGGAAGAACTTGAAGGGCAGCTAGAAGAAGTTATGTCTTTCATACCACAAGAGTTCCTGGTGAAATCAGTTGATGCGATTCCTGGGTGGCTCAAGAAGCTGGTAATAAAATCTGGTGCCCATATTGAATTTTAAATAAAACCTCATGTTAAACGCTTTCCTCTCATATCCATTTCTTGTAAAAATTATAGTTAATAAATAAATTATAAGTATTTTAAAATGAAGAATTACTTTTTAGTCACCCTGTATATATTAAGATCTATTTTAATATATCAACTTTGTACTGTCATCTAAAATTTTAGCTGGAATATTATATAATAATATGCAAAATTAATTATTATAGATATTTTTTTGGTCTGTGATTAAGTGACAAATAGTGTTGCACTAATCTTCCAAAGAGTAGTGTTTGTATACCTTGAAAATCAGCATTCAATATACTGTTTTAAACTGGGCTTGAACACCAACTTTAGATACTGATGAGAATATTTAACTTTCCTTAGCTACCCAACAAACTCAAAAATATATTTTTGACAAAATCCAAAGAAGAATTTGGAAGCTGCCATGTTGCTTAGCATAAAATATTTAATAGTGTGTACTCTTTTACTAGTTGTAAATAAATATGTTTGGTTGGCCAGTTGATCTGGAAAGAGTTAAGCTTCAAATTGTATTCATTATGCAAAATTTAAGGAAATAATCTATTCATTATGTCTATGTGTTTGTGTGTGTTTTTTTTGTTTTTAACAGCCTGAGTTTCCACCTTGTATCTATTACAAAATCTACACAGTGCGGAATATTGTAGATGTCTGTGCTTGCAGCCCAAAGAATTATTGCCATAATTCCAACAAAAAGAAAACTGCAAATTATATCAATAACAAAATAGGCAATAACCAAGAAGTGTGTGATGGTAAGTTGTGATGATATTTTTTTTTTTCAGTATAAATTTTGATATTCAAGAAAACTCTTAAAAGGTCTACCATATTTAAAATGGAAGTATCTGGACTAACTTTTAATTGAATATCACAGTGCTTTAAAAATCAAGTCATATCAATAGAAATAATTTATATTGTAGTGAGTGTGGTATCTATAAACTAATGGTTACCAAGTTTAATGGCTTAGTGACATACATTGAATATCTCACTACATGAGGCAGCATTTTAAGATGTTTATAAATATATTTAAAATGTAAATAAAATAATTATGATGCATATAAAATATTTAATTTACTAATTTCTAAAGTTGTCAAGCTCTGGGAAAATATTCTACACATTTTATTTTATTTTTTGCAAATGTTCACCCAATACAAGGCCCAAGAGCCACTCAAGTTAGAGGGTTATTAAATGTTGCTGTATGAGTGTAGGAGGAGGAGGAGGTAAGAAGTGCAGTTTACAAGGTTCTGTAGGCGAAATAACAGTTAACCCTAAATTTGAAGAGGTAAAGATTGTAGTGATCGAGAAAACATCTTCTCAAGAGTCTGTTCCACAAAATAGTGGTTCTTGGGAAGAAGCTGTCTGAGTCGAACTTCCTTCTTACTAATGCAATATGAAGAGAATGAAGAGGATTTCTCCCAGTGTATGTGGCATGACAAATCTCAGCTGCAAAGGTCAGAACTGGTGGTATTAAAGAATGTAGCTTATCAGAATATTTGCCATAGAAGTAGTAAGAGATTTGTGACATTTCATCATTGGGAAAGGGATTGTAGTGTGAAAAATAATCCATTGCTTACAAGGCTGCATAAACACTTTTGAACTCAAGACTGGCAAGTGAAGACTGAACATCTCCAGCTGGGATATTGCATCAATACTTCATTTTAGGCCTGAGCTCATTCTTGTAAAGATAGAGCATAGCAGGAAGAGTCTTATACTTACTAGAATGGTACAAGGAACCAACCCTTTTTTCAGTATCTTTAGCAAAAGATCATATATGTGAGTTCCACTTGATGTCTAGGGTGAGCTTGAGTCCCAATAGGCATTTAAGGCAAGGAGCCTTCTTCAGGAAATAAACATTCATCCTGATAGGTTGAAGTTCAGAGTCTGGTGATGGTCACATGATATATATGTATTTAAATTTAAAATATAACATTCCAACAGGATAAAATACTGACAACATTTAGTTTCTGATTATGACTGTAACAGTCAAAAGTACACAAACAAAAATAAAACAAAAAGAGAACAAAAGTATGTACTTTGGACTGTTTATCCACACCTCATTTGAAAATTGGAAAATCCAATAAAACTTAAAGTTGTTGATTGAATTTAATACAACTTGTAATCCAACAGATTTTATCACTTAACTGTTATTTTTAATAGATACCCATATTTGAGTAGACGTTCTGTTTATTTATTAGACATTATATTTATTCATTTTTGTTTATTGGCCTGAATAATCGAGAAATGTTATTAAAAATTTATCAACACTTTCTCCTGCTAATCTGTCTTATACATTTATAAGTTTACTATTCAGCCTTGCATGAATATTGCTGTCACATCTGGCCTGTTGCTTCTGCCATGTATTTAGAGATTCTTTATAAAATACAAAGAAGAATCTGCAATGTTATTGGTCCTGAACTGGCATCTCAGCTTCTGACATTCTCCCACTGCTGCAACGTAGCTTCTCTGTGACTTTTCTAGATAAATTTTCCTCTTTGGTACCTAGACTTTATGAATTTAAACACAGTACTAGATTGGCAGCTAGGTCTCATCATTTTATAATTGAAATGGCTAGATGTAACCATAAATTTTGTGTTAACAATTTCTTCTCTTACAATTCTTGTTTGTGGAAGTCTCTTCTTTTGATGTCCAAAATTTTAAATACAATGTCAGTCATTATCTTCTGTTTTCTTAATTCCTGTTCTTTTATTGTTCTCTCTCCTTAATAATGTTTTCTTTTTTTCATATTCTATCACATTCAGTAATCCCTTGAATCTTGCTTGGGGTGAAATGATTAAAGTATATATATATATATTAATTTATCTATGTATGTATATATGTGTGTGTGTATATATTATATTTATCATAATAATCCAGCATGCACATGATCAACCACAACTATCAGTTTCTTGCAAGCTAATGCACAGTCATGAGGCAGTTCAAATGTATATAATGATAACTCCTCATCGCAAAAATTCAGACAGAAGGCAATTGGGTAATAATAACAACAAGATGAGGACAATAGTCTGAATGTACATAATGTAAATAATGATAACTTCTCATCCCAGAAATCCAAACAGAAATTGTTTGTTGTTTGTTGTTTCTCGTAAACCTTGACATATGTAATAAATATTATAAAGCTGATTTTATCTTTATCCACAATCAGTTTCACTAAGAAATAAACACATTCAGTTCTGATGGAATTGAGAACTGCTGATAAAAAGATAAGCAACAAATGTTTATGATTGTTTTTGAAATTTAAGGTGAGGTCATATGCAGAGAAAGCCTAACGTGCTTTTATAACTTATGTGACAAATATATTTTATGATCAGATTGTTCATATACCAATCTATAATGGAAAGAAAACATTACTTGAATTTAAATCTGTGTTTTGTAAATCACTGTCAAATTCAAAGAATTATATCCTTGTTTTTCTTATCTATATAACTTATTTATTATATAGGATGCGATCGGTAAATTGTCGCCATTTTATATTTTTAATTTTGTGCATGCACATTGTTTGTTTTTGGTTTTGTCAATTGCACAGAGTATTTTAGGGTCAGTTGGGCACTGTCTGTGAGAAAAAGAACACCATAATGCAATTCACTCCCCAGAAATTTGGAAATGGCATGCTGTACTGCTTGGGAGTCATGCCAGAAGCTCCCATGCGAACATTTCAGAGTGTTTGGGTGTCAATTTGAGGACAGTGCAGAGGATTCGGAAAGAGTTGGATGAGTCTAATGGTGATTACAAAAGTCTTTGGAGTGATCACAAGTGATGGCCACGTTATGCCTCCATTCATCTTCCCACAGGGCCTCAGATTCAACATGGAGGCCTACGTCAATTGTCTTGAGGAGGTAGTGCTGCCCTGGGTCAAGAAGATGACTGTTGGAAGATCCTATGCCTGGTAACAGGACTCTGCACCATGCCACACAACAAGAGAACCCAGTCATGGCTGTCAGACAATTTCTGCAACTACATCACTCTTTACATCTAGCCACCTAACTCCTCAGACTGCAACCCCCTTGATTATTATGTGTGGGGTGCAGTTGAGCAAGAGACCAACAAAACTTCTTGTAATACCAAAGATGAACTGAAGGCAAGGGTTATGGCAGCATTCACCAACTTAAACGAGGACACTGTTCAGAAGAGTTGCAGAAGATTCCAAAGCCATCTGAAGTCAGTGATTGGAGCCAATGGTGATTTTATTGAATAAATTTACTCTTTAGTATCTCAAGATATATTTGTGTAATTTTGGTATATCTGTTAAAATGAGATGTCAGTGTTATTTTAATTTTTGCATAATTTAGATGACAATTTATTCATCACACCCTGTATAAGGTGTTGCTGAACAGTTCTTATCCTAACCAACTTCCCAAAATCAGTATTCTGATTAAAATACTAATTTTTTGGAAGTGGGTCAACTTTTCAGTATCCCCTCGTATGATAAATAACTATATAAATATAATAACTCTATTCTGTTGGTAATGTTTTCATTATTTCCTCACTCTTTATATGATAAATTTGAAATGGAGGAAATAGATGAATTATATTATATGTTGTTAAGTATATAACTCAAAAGAGTGTTTGATATAGTATTGCTACATTAGTCTCCACACAACTCAGACTGTCTCTATCATTTACTGAATTTCAAATCAGCTGTCTTTTCATCAGAAGTTTTTTTTTGTAGTATTAGATAGCACAATGCATATGATCTGTGTTAACTACTTTTATTTTGCTGACAACTTATCAGTGACAGAGAGGGAGAATTGAGTGAGAGAGACTTTTCTCTCTCCAAATTTTGGAGAGAGAATCTCCTTTTTTGCTAGGAAATCTTGTCTTTTCATTAATTATTGATTCATTAATTTACATGTCAATGAAAAGACACTCAAACCTACCATACCCTTCTTTTTTTCCTTTCTGTGGAACTTCTGACACAATCAGATATATTGTATGTCAGAAATAAGATATATTTCCAACATGTGCAATTGTTTATTATTTTGGAGATTTTTTTTCTTTCCTTAATCCTTAATCCTTAATCTTAACTTATTCTCCTCTATACATAGTATTACAATAATCCTGTAGTGGATACATTGGAACTGAGATCAGATGTGAAAACTCTCCCAGCTAAATCTGGAATGTTCAAAAACAAGTTATTACACAGGAGTTATCACATATAACTTCTAACATAAAATTATAATGTAATTTCTAATATATTTCAACCAATCACAATGTTTCCTAGCAAAAAAAAAAAAATAACAATCCTACTTCTGATCCACCTGGAACAAATAAATCCAACTGAAAGCAACTCTTAAGCCAGCAGAAATCTGACAAGGTACAAAATTACACATCACGATATATCCAGTCCAGTAAAATCTGTATGCTGGAGAAACTATTCTATCAGTTTCTCCTATCTGACACAAACACAGCAATGAGTAAATATATTTCTTCTTTTCAGTGTTCTCTTACTTGGATACATACAAGAACATGTACAAACATATATACACTTTCATTTTTATGTATAAAAAATAACTTTCCTACTAGTCACTCACTGAACTTTAAACAGTATTTGTAAGTTATTTTTTGTGCTATGTTAAAATATTAAATTTTATTTGTGGTTGTTGCACGAATTTGATCCTCAATTTTTATATTTTGTAAAGGAAAATAATTGAATCCTTCTTGTCCTGAGGAGACATAGCACATGAAGAAGATGGTGGATGAAGTATTAGGCAACTTCTAATTTCCTAATAATATGTTA